TTTTCTCAGTTATTTGTAGTTTTTATTTGTCTTTAGTAAGTGAAGGTGTTCTCCACTCAAAAGGATACATACATAATTCACCTTTTTTGTTTTTTCAGTCTGGTATTTATTTTTCTATTTAGCGTGAAGGCAGGGATCTGCTTTTTTTTCCCAAATAATTATCAAGTTACCCCAGAATCATTTGTTAAACCTATCCTTTCACGGAGAGTTTCAAATACCGTACATAAATTCTGGAATATATATATGTATTTCTTGAGCTTTTTCTTTTCTTCCATCTTCTTATCTTTAAGCTCCTTGAGAATAAGGATCAAGACTGCTTGGTGCATTGCTGTAGCCTCAAGGATTGACCCTATAGTACAGTGGGGGCTGGATATGTTTCTTGACAGATCATCTATTTCTTTTTATACCATTGCTACATTTTTAATTACTGTAGCTTTACAATAAGTATTTTGTATGTATTTTATGTCTTTTTATTTTTTAACTTTCCTTAGCTAATATAAAAAAGTCTTCAAGATGAGCATCAGCAATATTTTTAGTCCCCCAGAAAACTAAGATTTTGATTAAAATATAATTAAATATATGACTTATTGGGAAGAATTGTTACCTTTATATTGTTTTATTATCCAAAACATATTGTTTCTCCATTGTATTAAATTTATTTACTTACTTGTTTATTTATTTTAGTTTTACTCTCTTAATAGGTGTAATAATTTTCCAAGTAATTATCTTGGGATTTCTAGGTTGTTGTTTTTTTTTTTAAAGATTTTATTTATTTATTTGACAGAGAGAGATCACAAGTAGACAGAGAGGCAGGCAGGGGGGGGGGGGGAGCAGGCTCCCCGCCCAGCAGAGAGCCCGACACGGGACTCGATCCCAGGACCCCGAGACCACACCCAGGCGCCCGGGATTTCTAGGTTTTAAGTAACATTATCTATAAATAATAATTTTATCTCCTTTCCAGTATTTATTGCATTGGCCAGGGTTTCCACTATTAACAGTAAAAAGAATCAAGTTGATCTTGATTTTTACAGTGGAAGGTAAGGCCTTAAACTAGAAGGCCTGGACAGAAGACTCTTTCGTAGAGCTAATAGGACAGTGATTCAAGGCAAAAGGAGTATCCTTGATCCTTGAACAGCATCTGTCTTTATCATGTAAATCTCCGTTTAAAAAAAAATTTTTTTTTTAAGAGAGGGGAAGGGGGTTCAGGGAGGGACAGAGGGAGTGGGAGAGAGAGAGACTCTAGCGTGGAGCCCACTGCAGGGCTCTAGACAGGCTCATGTCCAGGCGCAATCTCATGGGGGCTCGTGGCCAGGCTCAGTCATGACCTGAGATCATGACCTGAGCCTAAATCAAGAGTCAGTGCTTAAACACCTGAGCCACCCAGGCTGCACACACATCATTACAGGGCCTCAACTAAACTCCAGAACCAGATACATGGGGATAAATGGTGGGCACTCCTGTTTTAAACATCAAATCCAAGCAGTTATCTATATAATTAAACAGTATGGTTAAGCAGTTTAGAATTTTTGTTTTGGCATGGATTTCTACCTTAAAGAATTAGTGCCTTCTTGGGCACATGATCTTTGAATTCAAAATGTGTGGTATTTCTGAATTTGAGAAATTACTGATCCTTTGGGTAAGAGAAAGAAGGGAACAGTGGTACGTGGTTGGAATGAAAGACAGAACAAAGCACCACAGCCCTGCTTCCTGTACTAAGTAAGTCCTGTGTTTGCCATTAATGGAGTTTGTTTGAATATCCAAGCCTGGTTATAACAAGCAATTTGCAAAGATCCTATTATACAACTAGTAGGAAACCATTTATTACGATATAGAATTTAGAATGATTAACAGTCACAACTGTATCACTAAATGCTTCTGTCCCTGATTGTTGTGCAGATTCACCCTGTTCTTTGTATAAAATTTTTTTATTCAGTAGCACAGCTCATTTGGTTGATTGAGTTGTGGATAGTTTTTTAAATATTTGGGGGAAAAGAAAATTGTGAGCAACCCTTTAAAGTAGAGAAGAATAATAGGTTTATTTGGGCTTATAATTTTATTTTTAAAATGATCTACCATAGTTGCACAATCTGTAAATTTCATAAGTCAGATATTTTACGTAGACACATTTTATTGATCATTATATAATTTTACTGGTACTGTTCATCCTTTTACCATAGTTTTACTGTTGCTTTCCTGGTTTCACTTTGGTGATTTGTTACTTGCCCTGTCTGACTGGCTTTGTGTTACTTATATACTGTGAATTATAAATGCAAAAACTAGTAAATTGTTATGCCTATGATTCAGGAGGAAAGGTATACTGAGCACAAAATTTTGATCAGTTGTGTATCATCTGAATGATAAGCCTTGGGACATAGTGTCCTCTAACAAGATAAATTGATACAAATGGATGTGTTATTTGCTGAATTGTCAGATACCTCATATTACTCTAGGTTTTTCTTTTTGATCATAAATATTCTGTTTAGGAGAAAAGCAAAACATGTTTCAATTCTCCATTCCTCAAACTTGATCCAGTGCAGTTGTGAAGAGTTCGAAGGGAGAATTTTTCCTATATAACATGAGGGCTTCAACACTACTGGCAACCAAAGAAAGGGAAGGGGAAGTGAAAGTTGTTGAGAGAAGACAGAGGAGACAAAGGTCAGCAAGGATACAGGAAGCTACAGATGAAGATGTTGATGATTAGATTACAAAATGTAAACTACTGAATGGCAAGAATATTGGCGACTTGGATAGTGGATGCTCAGTCCATGCTACTGCATGAACAAAGATATGACCATCTACTAGTCACTTAACTAGCAACTTCACTTCAATGCCCGCATTTCTTCCACCACTTTCATCCTATAAGTCACCATTTGTGGTTAACTCTACATCTGAATCATGTTATAAATCTCTCCTCCTTTCCATTTCCAGTACCACTGCTCTGCTTCAAGACCTTATCATTTTTGCTTCCCGAATGGCTTTCTCTCTTCTCTTTGGAAGTTTAGACTACACGAAACCATCAGGATTATTGATCTAGAACACAGATGGGATAATATCATTCTCTAGTTTAAAAACCCAAAATGAGCTTTGCGCAGTGGCAGTATCGTAGCCAATGAGGTTTATCCAAGGCGCGATTATTGCTAATTAAAAACCCAAAATGAGGGGTTCCTGGAGGGTTCAGGACTCTTACTATCAGCTCAGGCCATGATCTCAGGGTTGTGAAAGCGTGGAGCCTACTTAAGAGTCTCTCTCTCCTCTGCCCCTCCCCTTAAATAATATTTTAATGCCCTGCCTTAAAATAATAATTAATTAAATTTTTAAAAAGATTTTATTTATTTATCTGTCAGAGAGATCACAAGCAGGCAGAGAGAGAGAGGGGGAAGAAGGCTCTCCACTGAGCAGAGAGCCCGACGTGGGACTCGATCCCAAGACCCCGGGATCATGACCCGAGCCTAAGACAGAGGCTCAATCCACTGAGTCACCCAGGTGCCCCTAATTAATTAATTTTAAAAAATAATAATAAAAACCCAAAATGACTTCTCATTATAGTCAAAAGTCCAAACTCTTTAGCATGACAAGCCTTTTTACAGTCAGACCTCATCCTGTTTCTTACCTGGTATACCACCATCCCCCTCCTTGTGCTGTGCTACTCTGATACTCAGAGTTCACCAGCCTCCATAGATCGTGCTCCTCCATGCTTTTGTCTAAGCTGTTTCTTTCTCTGTAGCCTAGATTATAGTCCTGTAACATCCAAGTAGACTATACCTTCTATTTCTGGAACTTTCCTCACTCTGTTGGTCTTAACCCCCAGCAGAATGAATGGTTCCCGTCTCTGCTTCCGTTATGCTTTCTGTATAACTCCTATTAAACTTCTGTTCTTGTATTGTAAATTCTTTTTTGACAGTAGATTGACTCCTTAAGACTGGTAGTTTCTTATCATTTATTTAGCAGAATGCCTAGCATATAACAAGTAGTACTATGTGTGTCATCATCTCATTTAATCTTCTCAAACAGCCTTATGAGGTTTGGTGCTACTGGAGAAATATCCCCTTTTTACAATTAAGTAAACTGAGCTAAAAAGGCTTCACAACTGGTACACAGTAAAACTGGAATCCCAGCCTGGATCTCCCTAACTAGTAAAGTCCATACTCTTAACTATTTTGCTGTATGTCGCCCCCCAACATCTGTGTATCCTTGGTGCCTGCTACCCTTTGGTACAGTAGGTGCTCTGTCAGCGCTCACTGACTGAATGAATTATAAAAACTCCAGTTCACACAGGACTTGGAGGCACTGTGATTTCCATTGAAAGGGAGTGAAAGATATCAGTGCACCATTCATAAAAATAAAATGTTTAAAAGAATTTTAATGTATTTGAACGAAAATACATACATATACAAAACAACTCAATGTGTTATTGACTGGGTCTCGGAAATGTTCAACTTGGGGAAAAAGCTTCATTTTCTAAATATGCTGGCTTTTGTAATGCAGGACACCACATAGTACTACACAGTTATAAAATGTCTTGAATTGATTTCTGGGAGACTGCTGCCCCCTTACTTCTGTCTTTGTAATAAATTTCTCACAAGTCAGGTAATCTAATTGAGCTTTTACTGGCATAATACATTGTAGAGCTAGCCATATCATGCATGTAAACTCTTTTTGAGATGAAGTACAGTAAATGTAGTATAATTGGGGTCAACAGAGTTTTTTGCAAAAAACTATGTTTTAAATCTATCATAAACTGAAAAATGCTTTAAATGCCATATACTGTTAGTGCTTGTATAAATGACTACAGTATCAATTGTGGTTTTTCTTGGGTTGTCTTAAGTGTCAAATAGTAAATCAAAACATAACAGTTGACCCTTAAAAATCTTGAGATTGACTGTCAGTAAGAAATAGGAGCCTTAATTAATCTTTTCTTTACCATCTGATTTTCCTTATAGATTTAGTAAAATGTAATATAGATTCAGTTTTTTAACTTTTCTTTTCTATTATTTCTCTAGTGTTGTTAATAACAATACTTGTAGTCGAAGGGATTGCTGTGGCCCAAAAGACCCAAGGTAAAGTACTTTCAGTGATAACTTATCACATATTCAGGACTGTGAGTGGGATGGCTTATTGGAAAGGACTGCAACTTTTGAATACTATTTCCATAATCCCTCTGGGGTGTTCCAATGATCTAAGGCTTTTTGTCAACCTAGCAGCTTCAATTTTATTGGGTTCAGCTGCAGTTAACTAGAGTAAATTGTCAACATAAAGACTTGCTGATAAATTTTTTTAATGGGCATCACTAGTAGCTCCTAGCACACTATGGATTATGTCCAATAATTAAATGAGATTCATGCATTATCACTCAGCAAAAATAAAATTCCTTTTTTCAATGTAGACAAATGAAATATTTCCATCAGTATCTTGTTAAAAGTCCTGTGGACCTGTTCTCATTATCCTTGTTTATGAAAGAAGATAAGCTAGTGTGCTTTTCAAACCAGATTTTCATGTCAGAGTTTAGAACATTTACTGGTTTACTTTTTACTTTCATCTAAGTTGTACATACACATGACAAAAATCAAAGTATTCTGAATAGCTAATTATGAAAAAATAGTTTTCTGTCCTCTGCTACTCTACTTCCTTCTCCATGGAGATAACCAGAATTTTAGCTGAATCTTGGTATTTCCCTGCATATTTCTAAATAATATGTTATACTATTACTTCTTAATTATTTCAGTTTTACATGTTTAGGCAATATTTTCCCACCACAGAAGATGAAAATTTAGCTCTTTCATGCACCTACTTATTCTACCCCTGACTATATACCAGTGTTCTATTACTTTCCTTCTGTACCACCTGTTTTGGTGTAATTCTGTCATAATTCTGGTCACACCTATGTTGAGAATTTAAGTCACTCATGGAGCTTTTTCCATATGAAAATTTTGTTTTTCCATTTAGGAAATTTTTATTTTTCTCCTTGTTTAAGTTTTTAAATTCCTTTTTTTCTTTCTTTTGTTGTTGTTGTTGTTTTATTCTTAAGAAAATTCTGTTTGGTTATGGAATATTCTTGTGGTTGTTTTTCTATTTTCCATCTGTCTCTCTACTCTTGTTTTCTTCTCAGTCTGTATCGAGACTTCCCCAGCTTTACCCTCTAAACCAGGAATTGGAAAACTTTTTCTGTAAAGGGCCAGACAGTAAATATTTAAGATTTTACAGGCCTTACAGTCTCAGGAGCAACTACTCACTTTTGCTGTTGTAGCATGAAAACAACTATGCACCGTATAGGCACATGAATGGACATCGATGTGTTCCTTTGTAAACTTGCCTTATGGTGACAGGCCACAGGTTGTATTTGGCCCAGAGCTACACTTTGCGGTCCTCTGCTTTAAAATTTCTACTAATTTTTCCTTTTTTTCTTCTTCTTCTTCTTCTTTTATTTTTAGAAAATTTTTGTTTTCTGAATATTTTTAAAGTATCCTTATTCTTGTTTTATAAATATCCTCTTTTTAATCCAAGGGGATTAAATGACAGTTTTGTTTAGTTTTTAGTTTGTTTTTTTATATAATCTTTGTTTCCTCAGATTTGCTTTCTTCTTGTTTTTTATTCATTGTTTGTGTTAGAGGCTTTCCTCAAATATCTGGTGATTATTTATGAGAGGCGCACTAAAATCTGAAGACTAGCCGTCTGTAGGTGTAGAAGGACTTGTTTGCTGCCGCCCTCGCTGGTGAGTGACCCAGCACTGGGGAATTCCGAGTCCGTATTGCTGGCACTTTTCCTTTGGACTCTTGAGAATCCCCAGAGAGGAAGCTTTCCATTTCCAGCTCAGACAGACGTTCTGCATCTCACCTAGAGGGTTTGAAGGAGTTGAGTGGGGGAAGAGGCCAGGAATGCCATTCGCAGTGTAACATTCCTAGTCTCCTTGTTTGCAGGCTGGTGTGGTCACCTCCAGCTGTGCCGGGTGTCTCCTGGTCCTGTAACGTTGCTTTATCCTCTGCAAAGGAATCATATCATTTTCTGATGTGGCGACAGAGCAGCAGCTTCCTAGATTTGTAGAGTAGGGGAGGGTCTTAGAAATCAGACTGATTCTGAAAAGACTTGTAGCCAGGCCTCCTGTTTTTAGAAAGGACGGTTTCACCACCACCTGTCATGCCCTCTCCTGCTCACCAATACTGCCAGTTGTTGTGTTTGCACCTCTTTGTCCCTTTTCAGGGGGTTATTTTTGCCCTTAAAAAATCCTGTACTGTTAGTGGAGTTTAAGGAGAGGGAACTAAATGCATGTATTCAATCTATAATCTTTAACTAAAATCCCTTTGTAATCTTTGGATCCTTTTTGGCTTTTGTGTGAAACTAAATATAGAGGTACCATACCGGAGATAAACCCCTGGGATCCTTTTATTTTTATGTTAGAACTGAATTTTATAGAGTTGCACTGATTTATCAGATTCTCCCACACAGCTTTGCCCTTGTAAAATCTAAGCATTTTATTTCCCTGCTCTCCTACAGGGCAAACTTGTCCTCTAGCAGCAAGCTCTTCCCACCAGCACAGCATACAATTTTACCTTTCTCACACTTCCGCTGTATTCAGTTTGTTGCGCTAAACTTGGCAGTGGTTCTTGCAAAATTATGTACACTATCTGTGTAACATAGAGTGGGCAATTGTATGGCTGAATTGTGGGGGAAAGAGAAGAATGCTGTTCTCTTTTGCTGTAATTCATATTTTAAATGCCATTTTTCCCTAAGATGGACAAAATATTGGAATCAAGCATATTCCTGCAACCCAGTGTGGCATTTGGGTTCGAACCAGCAATGGAGGTCATTTTGCTTCACCAAATTATCCTGACTCTTATCCACCAAACAAGGAGTGTATCTACATTTTGGAAGGTATTAACCAATTTCTGTCTTTTAACAGATGAATTTTTACTTTATTGTAAAACTGAGTACATTGGTAATATGCCCAGTTTAAGCCAGTTTGAACAAAATTTATACATGTATTGAATTAAACTCTAGTAATTATAAATATGTCTGGATATATCTATTATGTCTGGATAAATTATTATCCAGATTATGTCTGGATATATTATGTCTGGATAAATATGTCTGGAACACAATAACAAAATAATAGTTGAAATTTTATAGGAATTTTGAATCTCCTAAAATATAATTCAACCAGATGCATCAGTATAAATGAGAAACTTCTCTAATAAGGAAGGAAGGGAGGGAGGGAGGGTCTCAAACTTACTGGCATCTCTTACGCCTTAATGCAAATTTACGTCCATAGTTACATTAGGTCGTGTCATTTCTTCTGTTTTTCTATTCATTGTATCTCGTGAACTAAGCAATAGCTTTTGTAGTCTAATTTTAATCAATAAAATACACGTAACTAATTTAATAAACAGCATATTCCACAGGGAAACATCACTGTAGTTCTGCAGAGCAGCATTGTTACTACTGATTTAAAGTGTAACATTAATTATGAATTTCATGTATAACAGTCCTCATGATTTTTATCTGTGGAACAGTAACAGCAGTTGCTTTGCTTTTTCCACTCATGTCAGGACATTTATACTTTGTGTTGCCCTGATTTGCTTGCTTCTTGTTTTCTAGCTGCTCCACGTCAAAGAATAGAGTTGACCTTTGATGAACATTATTATATAGAACCATCATTTGAATGTCGGTTTGACCACTTGGAAGTTCGAGATGGGCCATTTGGTTTCTCTCCACTTATAGATCGTTACTGTGGCGTGAAAAGCCCTCCACTAATTAGATCAACAGGGAGATTCATGTGGATTAAGTTTAGTTCTGATGAAGAACTTGAAGGACTGGGATTTCGAGCAAAATACTCATTTATTCCAGGTAATGAAGTTGTCTTTTTTTTTGGTGGGTTTACTCTGGTTTTAGAATCTGATGTCTGGAAAAGAGAGAATTTAGTCAAGTTAATCAAATCAAGGTTTTAAAGAAATTAGCAAGGCCAAAGGGAAATCACTTCATGAATAAATAAAACCAAAAATTGGAAATAGAACTATATCACTTGAATTTTGAAGCATTTCATAGATGGCATCACAGTTTTCTTAGATTTCTTTATGTTTTATAATGTATATCAAGGCTAAAAGCATCAAGATAAATGTATTTTAAAAGATAATCCAGCAAATGGTCTTATTTTCATAATCCTTACCAAAAATTATTTTGGCAAGTTTTTTCCATTGGAATGCTTGAATTAACCACTCATTTGAATAATCTCTAGAAAATATTGAACAATAGAAACTGCTCTGCACTTGGAAGCAAAAAACCTGTGTTTGAATCTGTGTTCTCTGTTGCCTGACAGCACGGTTGCACCTGACGGTTGCCATTGGTAAAATGGGAATACCTGGTGTATTACTTTCCTGAGACTGCCTTAACCAACTATTTAGCAGCTGAAAATAATAGAAATTTATTCTCTCAGAATTCTGGAGGGCAGAAAACCCAGCAGCTCCACATTTCTTCTGGGAACTCTAGGGGAGAATCCATTGCTCACCTCTTCTAGCTCCTGGGGGCTTCCCCAGCATTCCTGGATTTGTGGCCACATCACTCCAGTCCCTGCCTCTGTTGTCACATTGCCCTCTCAGAATCCTTAACTTAATCCCATCTTCTGTTTTGTAATGTAATATTCACTCTTCTTTTTTTTTTTTTTTTTTTATTTTAACCACATAAAATAATACAGGTTCTGAGGATTTGGATTAGGGTCTCCGTTCAACCCACTCTGCCTATCTTACTCTGCCCTGTAGTATGTGCAAACACTTTAAGACCTGCAAAGCCTCTCTGGTGTAAAACTGTGCATATCCCTAATGCAGAAACACAAAGATCTACAAGTTATTGCTCCTGTCTTCAAACAACTTATAGACCAACAAGATGAAAAAGTAACAGTGTACCAATTATATCATCTCTTTGCTTTTGTTTTCATGTAAGAAATTTGTTAATTTAAAAAAATATATATCCAAATGAAAAGAAAAATCTATAATCTTACCATCCTATATATAAAAAAAACACTTTAACAATTTGGTGTGTATCCCTTCAGATGTTTTTCTGTATCTCTTTATTTTGTTTTACATAAGTGACAACAATTATATTACCTGCTTTTTTGCCTGAACAACATAATCAGCTTTTTTTCTTGTCAGTAAACATGGGAATTTTTAAGTGTTGTTTCAGTGTTTATGTTCTCAATGCTGAAAAGATAACATATTTTACTATAATAAAAATAAATTTTTAAAAATTAGTTACCAAAAAAACTTAATTTGGAAGTTTAAATAGGAATTATATACACCAAATTGCCAGAACGAAAGTTGCTAGATTAAAATATCTCGGGATCTTTAAATATCCTGCAAAACCTATTTCAATGTACAGTTTATTGTATTTAACTGGATGTTCAATTCTTGTTAAAGTTGTCCTTAATTCCAGATACTTTCTTCATAGTTATCATATTTTAAAAAGTAGGGGGGAAATTTTTTAGCTTAATTGAGAATACATCTCAGAGACTTTCCTCTTTTAACTTAATAAACTAAACCCAGCCTTGCTGAAAGGGGACAACAACATTTTCAGCTCTTCTGTAGAGAAGTGTCAAAGACAAATTTAATTAAACTGCAGTGGAGTAAAAAGTCATAGGAGCTACCTGCCAAATGAATCAGAATTTCTTCGTGTGTAGACAATTATTCTAGGATGTTGTCATTATTGCATTAAAATTTCCAGAATTATCCCAGTTATTTCCAGGTATTAACAATTCATTAAGAGTTCTCTATCCTCAATAGATAACACCAGTAACCAATAGATAACCAGTAACCAGAGAATTTCATTTAAAATATACTAATTTCTTGGGGTGCTGGGTGGCCCAGTCAGTCAGGTGTCATGATCTCAACCGTGAGATCAAGCCCCGTCCACGCACAGCATGGAGTCTGCTTGAGATTCTGTGTTTCTCCTGCCTCTTGTGTGCACTCTCTCTTTGTCTCTCTAAAACAAACAAATATATGAAATCTTTACAATATACCAACTTCTCATTATTGTGGTAGTCTTCTAGATTTACTGATCCCTAAACAAAATTTATTTTATAAGTATGACTTGAAATAACTAGACACAGCCATAATTAGCCAGTTATGCATTACCCATTTATTTTGATTTGGGGGAGGGGGTTAAGATTTATTTATTTATTTGACAGAGAGAGACACAAAGAGAGAGTGAACACAAGCAGTGGGAGTAGGAGAGGGGAGAAGAAAAGCAGGCTTCCTGCTGAGCCCGGAGCCTGATGCGGGGCTCGACCCCTGGACCCTGGGATCATGACCTGAGCTGAAGGCAGATGCTTAATGACTGAATCACCCAGGTGCCCCTACCCATTTATTTTGATATTTTTTCTTTTAATGGTTAAACTGTGGACTCGTCACCCACATTATAGAGGCAATATGATAGGGTAAGAAAAATTGTCTGGAGAATTGTAAGCTAGTCCCGGCTTTGCCATTATAAATATGGTCTAAGAAAATCATAATCTCTCTCATTCAGTTTCCTCATCTTCAAGGTGAAATATTACATAGTTTTCCTGAACATGATACTAAGCATAATGTATGTAGAAACTCTGTAGTAATATAAAATGCAAATGTCTAGAATATAGTCTAGAAATATAGTCTAGAAATCCTTAGTGTTTTATTATAATTTGTCTGTATTTTAATTATAATCCATATGAAGTTGCTTTTCTGATACATAAACTAATAGAAAAAGAGCTACTTTTCTTCAAGTAAGAATCTTTATGTATTAAAAAGCCTGATTTTTAATATTTAAAAACAGTATTCAATTAAGAGCATTGTTTTTGATGTCTGCTTTTTTCTTTCAGGTAGTCTAAACTAGTTAACAAAGATCTGATTCATATATAAGATTTTTTAAAATCTTTTTGACACTTAAAGTCTCATTATTTCAGTTAATTGATTTGGTTCATAAAAATCAAATACCTGACCGATTTGCTGAAATCAGTTATTTTGATATGAACTATTGGTTCTTGGTCTTCTGTGAACCACTTCACTGGACAGAATATCTTGTATATCACGTAGTCATTTTTTCCCTGCCACTTTGAAAACACTGCTCACTAGCTCCTACTGTGTGTGTGTGTGTGTGTGTGTGTGTGTGTGTGTGTGTGTTGAATTACAAATAACATAAAATTCACCATTTTAATCCTTTTTAAGTGTATGAGTACATTTATAATGCTGTGTAATCATCACCACCATCCATTTCCAGAACTTTTTTGTTAACACAAGCCGAAACTTTGTGTCCATTAAATATGAACTGCCCGTTCCCCCTTTCCTCCAGCTTCTGATACTTACTGTCTATATGAATTTGACTAATGTAGGGATCTCGATAAATGGAATCATTTATTTCCATATTAATATTAATATTTGTCTTTTAGTGTCTGTCTGATTTCACTTAGTTTAACATTTCAGGGTTTATCGGTGTTAGAGCATATATCAGAATCTTATTTCTCTGTTAGGCTAAAAAAATATTCCGTTGTGTATACTGTATTATGTTGATTCATGCATCCATTAATGGTCTAGCCATTGTTCTTGACAGAGGGTTGCAAGTTTTCAGGTGGCATAAATAAGTTATTCATGATGGAATCAAAAGTATAAACATTACCATTTTTAAAAAACTTTTCCTATAAATAAGGCACCTAAACATGCCCAGGTTTAAAACAGTGCTCTGTATTCTACACCTATGAAAGCTTTCTCTTGCTTTGTTTTTAAATGAAGGATTAGACATAAGACATGAAACCTTTATGTAACTCTAAACTATCTCAATGCCAATCACTTTCTTCTTTTTTCTATTACAGATCCAGACTTTACTTACCTAGGAGGTATTTTAAATCCCATCCCAGGTTTAGTATATCACCTCTTTTTCCTCATGGCATTTTGATCAGTCATATTTTCCTTTGAGCATCGTTCCTCTATTCTTTCTAGATTGCCAGTTTGAGCTCTCGGGAGCTGATGGAATAGTGCGTTCTAGTCAGGTAGAACAAGAAGAAAAAACAAAACCTGGTCAAGCTGTTGATTGCATATGGACAATTAAAGCTACTCCAAAAGCCAAGGTATTATTATGCATTGAGTCACTTTAGAGAAGAACATAATAAGACATTGATTAGCATAATGTATTGTTTTGATTCATGGAGATACTTACTATTATAGAAACTGATACTGCAACTTTTATTTCAATCAGATTGGCCACCTAAGATCTAAGTACACTGCAGTATAGTTTCAGGAAGATGACACAAACATTGAGAGTCTTAAAATCTTTGTACTCCTAGATCAGGGGTGCAAGTTTTGATCCATATGATTACCGATTCATAAAGAACTTTATGAGGAGGAAAAACAGACCACAAGAGGATGAAGCATCTTGTCAGAGTTCTTAGAGTTGGTCATGGCAGTGTCTAAACCAAAACACAAATGTAGCAAGTCTTGCTTCTGTGTTCTTTCCATGCTGTCCTCTGCTAACAATGTGGAGCTGTTATTGGAAAGTACTGCAGTAAAGGATGTTTTTAAATAACTCTGACAGATTGGGATTGGTTTGCTGACTACTTTTGCTTTTTGCTCTTAATTTATACTTCTAGGAATATTCACAGTGAAAATTATATTTAATGTGGATATATGTGAAAAGAGAAAGTGAGGATAAGAGAACAAACCATTAAAGAATTACAAAAATTAGGGCAGCTGGGTGCCTCAGTGGGTTAAGGCTCTGCCTTCGGCTCAGGTAATGTTCTCAGGGTCCTAGGATCGAGCCCCACATCGGGCTCTCTGCTCAGCAGGGAGCCTGCTTCCTCCCTCTCTCTCTCTGCCTGCCTCTCTGCCTACTTGTGATCTCTCTCTCTCTCTGTGTCAAATAAATAAATAAAATATTTTTAAAAAAAGAATTGCAAAAATCAAATTTAGAGTTATGGTAATAGCATAGATTAGATAACGTGAAAACCTGACCATTATAAAACATCTGGATTCATTGGGTAAAATATAACAGATACCCTTTTAAAAGCATAGGTAAGATTTCCCCACCCAAAAAAAGGTAATTCTTATGGACTAGAAATGAAGAGAGAGAAATAGAAACCAGACCAATAAATTGAAAACTGAAATTGATGGTACAAATACCTCTTGCTGATTTTAGTATCCTCCAGCTACTCACCAGTAGACCTGCCGGGAGCTTGGTATTACTAACCACAGTGAGAAAAGGCCTGCAGTTTGTGTGACGTTTATGAGATCCCTCACATAAAACTGGAACCCTTAAAAGGATATATAATTGCTATGAAGTGGTAGATTAGAAACCTCTTCCACTAATAGGTTAACAGTGAAGAAGCTTACCTTTCTGGGCTCAGTCCCAGGATAAGGCTGGGGTCTCCCCTAAAGCTTTTACCTAGAAACATGTTCTTACTAGAATTTGGGACATACGTAATTTACATTCCAGGCCCAATCCAGGAACCACTTAGTCTACAAATTAACAAAACAGCCCTGGCCTCAAAAATCTTTTTAGACACCTGGCAAAAATAAATACAGAATAACCACAGAGGGACACCTGGGTGGTCCAGTTAAGTGTCTGCCTTCGGCTCAGGTCATGATCCTAGGGTCCTGGGATTAGGCCCCCTGCTCAGTGGGGAGTCTGCTTCTCCCTCTGCTGCTTCCTCTGCTTGTGTTCTCTCTCATACACAGACACAGTAAATAAATCTTCAAAATAACCACAGAGGCTGATTGCCATCAGTAAAATACTGCTGAAGGTAAGCTCACAACCCAAAATTAGAAAACGTAAAGAAACAACCCATCATGAGTGAATTAGCAGACCTAACAGCAAGAAGTTTCTTTGATGCCTAAGAAGTTAGGTGTTTTAAGTATCTTACAAGAAGGAATCAAAAAAACGAGAAAGAAAAATGACCAGGTATACTTTACAAATCACCAAGTAGAACTTCCTCAAGTAGTTATTAAAGGATAGATCTGAGAAAATTACCCAGAATGTAGCTCAGGGGGTCGGGGAGGGGTAGTGGGTAGTGGGGTAGTGGGATTTTAGCAAGAAAATGTTCAAGCTGACCGAAAGCATTGACACAAGTGACTCCCAAAGCAAGAAAAAAGTTTATATTGACACCTCACTACATTGGCCACAAGAGACAACGAAAAAAATCTTTAAAACAACTAGAGAAAAAAGAGAGCTTTGAGAATCATTAATAGCAAAATAGGAGCCAGAAGACAATAGAGTAATGTCTTGAAAGTGCTGAGAAAAAAAATAAGTAACTGCCAATCTAAAATTCAGTACTCAACTATCATTTTAGAATATGAGCAAATCGGGTCATGATCCCAGGGTCCTGGGATTGAGTCCCGCATCGGGCTCCTTGCTTAGGGGGGAGCCTGCTTCTCTCTCTGCCTCTGCCTGCCGCTTTGCCTGCTTGTGCTCTCTCTCTCTCTCTCTGACAAATAAATAAAATCTTTAAAAAAAAAAAAAAAAGAATGTGAGTAAATTAAGATATTCCTGGGCAAAAATAATAAATGGACCAAATGCTACAATTAAAATCCAAGTATATTCTGCTTTAGGATAACTATGGGAAATTTTGAAAATAAGGAAAGAGGAAAGAAATAATAGACAAATACCAAAAAAGATCTGATATAGCTATTAAAATAGAAATCAAGAAGGCTACCAATTTACAAGGAAGATATAATTTTCTTTTTTTTTTTTTAAAGATTTATTTATTTGACAGTTCACAAGTAGGCAGAGAGGCAGGCAGAGAGAGGGGAAGGGAAAGTAGGCTCCCTGCTGAGCAGAGAGCCTGATGCGGGGCTTGATCCTAGGACCCTGGGATCATGACCTGAGCCGAAGGCAGAGGCTTTAACCCACCGAGCCACCCAGGCACCCCGGAAGATACAATTTTCAATTTTATGTATTAATATGACCTCAAAATTTACAGAATTGAATTGACATTTGCTGAGGAAAATTGACAGAGCCACAATTACAGTGGGTCACTAATTTCACCTCTCAGTAATTAATCAAGCATACAGAAAAAGTGGTAAGGCTCAGATTTAAACAACACAGTATGCCTGATGAGACATGTCCTACTCCCAACATCCAGCAGATAGGCATTCTCTGCGAGCAGGCATGAAACATTTATAAACTCTGATCCATACGCTAGACTACAAACAGAAGTCTGAAATACCAGTGCTTCGTATTATGCAGAACACCCTCTGACAAAAATACAATTAAATCAGGAACCAGCAACCAAAAGATAACTTTAAAATCCATATGTTTGGCAATTTAATAATATACCAGTTAGTAATTAATAGGTCACAGATGAAATCAGGGTGGAAATTTAAACACACTTAAAACAATAAAATTGAGAATATCAAAATGTGTGGGATATAGCTAAAAGTGCTATAAGGGAGTTTTCATAAATGTTTCTTTTAGAAGAAGAAAAAGTTTAAATTTAATGAGCGAGTTTCAACTCAAGTTAAAAGAATGACCAAAGAAATCCAAAGAAAAGGTAATTAATGAGAGCAGAAATAAATGGTATTTTAAAAAGAATCAACAAAGCCAAAAGCTGGCCCTTTGTAAAAAATAACTATAGGTACACCTCTGCCAAGATTGATTGAGTCAGAAAGACCTAAATAATATTTAGAAATGGAAAAGGTCATAGAGGTGCCTGGGTGGCTCAGTCAGTTAAGTGACTGCCTTTGGCTCAGGTCATGATCTCAGCGTCATAGGGTCCTGGGATTGAGCCCCACATGTGGTCCTGGTCCAACTCTCTGCTCAACAGAGAGTTTGTTTCTGCCTCTCCTCTTGCTTGTGCTCCCTTTTTCTGTCTCTCCCTCAAATAAATAAGTAAAATCTTAAAAAAAAAAAAAAAAATGGAAAAGGTCATGAATCTACTATAGCGGAGATTTTAAAATTCTTAATATGACACACTATGAAGAAAACCTGCTGAACAAAAGAGAAAAAAACCCTATAGTTTCTTCAGTAAATAAATGACAAAGGGGAAAAAAAGCAGTGAATATAGATTAAAAGAAATGTAAAGTCAAATGAACTTGTGGATTCAAAGTATAAAAGGAGGAAACACTACAAGACAGAAGTCTGAACACTGGTGTCTGATATGAAAAAATTATTTATTTGGTTTGATAATAGAACTGATCATATTTTAAGTGGTCTTTAGCAATACACATAGAACTGTTGACATGTGAATTCTTTCTGGGATTTGTTTCTGTATATGAGAGGCAGATGAGGGAGGGTTATAGTTTGAGTAAAACTGGCTGAGTTAATAACTGGTAAAGCTAGGGGATGAGGACAAGTTTATGATACTATTTTGTCTGCTTTTGCACATTTGAAATTTTCCATAATCACACTGTTTTAGACTATAAGAATATAAGTAATTTTATTTGCTGATAAATTTGTAAGTAGTCTAAATGGACAATTTCCTGAAATATATAATGTGTATGTGTATGTATATATTTATATATATACACATATTTATATACAGTTATATAAAATTTACAGAAACTAAATCAGAAATAGAAAACCTGAAAAATCTTACCAAGTTAACAAAATTGATTTTGTACTTAAAATATATAAGCAAAAAAATTGGTCAAATTGGATTTTATCAGGTACTCAAGGAACATGTTATATAAATGGTTTCAGAAAATTGAAGAAAAAAAGAACATTCCCCAGCCTTTTCTAGTAAAACTAAACAACATGGAGAGTTTTTTGGTTTTTTTTTTTTTAAAGATCTTATTTATTTGACAGAGAGAGAGAGATCACAAGTAGGCAGAGAGGCAGGCAGATAGAGAGAGGGGAAGAAGCAGGCTCCCTGCAGGGCAGAGAGCCCTATGTGGGGCTCGATCCCAGGACCCTGGGATCATGACCTGAGCTGAAGGCAGAGGCTTTAACCCACTGAGCCACCCAGGCGCCCCAACATGGAGAGTTATAAACCAGGATTATTTGTCGAGTGGGGGGGGGGGACTCTAAAAACTAAGCAATAACAAACTAAACCTAGTAAAGTTTTTTTTTAGAAATCATGACCTAGAATTCTTAGACAGTTTAATATTAGAAAATTGAATGATGTAGTTTCCCATATTA